AAAAATAACAATTATTTCAAAATAAAAAAAGTATATTACTCCTTCATTTTAATTTGCCTATCATCAATTAATTAATATTTCATAGTTACGTACTAAAACCAGCGCCTTTGACATTCACTATTTCAAAAAAGAAAAAAAAAAAGAGGCATCTTTGACATTTACAATCGTTCCTCTAATTATTACTCAGTTGGGTACAACATTTCCTTGCACATGAAGGGGCCTCTAATTGAGTTTTCATGAGCCTTCTTCCTCTCTCTTGGGGCTAAAATAAACTTTTAGCCCCTTATCTTATAAAATTAGTAGATTTTAATCCCTAACTTATAATATGATAATTTTAACATTTTATCTTACAAAGTTGGTACATTTTTAACCTCTCATCTTATAAAATTGGTAAATTTTAACCCCTCACCTTATATTATGATATTTTTAGCCTTTTATCTATATAAATTAAAGAAAATAGCATCTATTTAATATCAAATTATAATATTCTATTAATTTTATTAATTGAATGTCAGTTTTCTTAACTGAATATTAGTTCTATTAGTTGACTGTTAGCATCTGTTAGTATTTCGTTAATGCAACTAACAAATAAAATTAAATTTAAATTTCATGTTTTTTATAACAGAAAGCTAATGGATGTTAACAATCAACTAATAGAACGTCATAACTTAATGTTAAATGAGGCTATTTTTTTTAATTTGTATTGATGAAGGGTTAAAAATATCATAATATAAGGTAAGTAGTTAAAATTTACCAATTTAGTAAGGTGATGGGTTAAAATTTATTAATTTTGTAAGATAAAAGGTTAAAACTGTTATGTTATAAGATAAGGGGCTAAAACTTACTAATTTTATAAAATAAAATATTAAAACTATTATATTATAAAGTGAGGGGTTAAAACTTATTAATTTTGTAAAGTAAGAGACTAAATGTTGGTTTTTCCCTCTCTTGGACTCTGTCTTAGTTATCCAAAACTTCATTTTTCTAGGTGGACCCTAACACTGCAGACTTGGAACTATTTTCCTAACCACTAAAT